GCGCCGCCCCCCATCTGCTTCCATCGGTGCAGCGCCGGTGCCTGCGACCGCGTATGCAGCCCCTCGGATGTCTTGCTTTGTAGAGGCTCTACTTTTGGGCCGCCCAGGATTTGTTCGACGGGCAACGTCATTTCTCTCATGATCTTGGACACCATCTCCTCAGCTTCCCCGCTGTCATCTTCGGCTGACATGGCAGACTAGAGGCGGTACCACGCGATGGAGCGCTGGGGGTTCGGCGGAAGGAGCGCGTCGGAGCAAGTCAAAACAAGCCCATGCAGATTGGTTCAAGTCGGAGATGTTGCCATCTTTTGCCTCTGATATAAACCCCAACGCCTTGGCATTTCGGTGCGTTTGCAGCGTAGATGAGACTGTGTAGAGTTGTTGCATCGGCTGAAGTGCCTTAAACGGACAGTAACTGTGAGAACGGTATCTTCTTTACTGGAAGCCGCCTCAACGACAGCTTGACGTTGGACGCAACCGAGTCTAATTCGTTCACGTTTTTCATGTTCGCATACCTCTGTAGATTCTGCAGGCGCAAAGCAGAGAGCATGCGGTCGCGTGCCGCTCTGCCGTTCTTAGGCTGATTTCTCGAGTTGGTGCTTCGACGTCATTTTTCCTTCTCATGATTCTGTGTGGACATCCGTACCAAACCTGTGACCGTTCCGAAGTGCATTCTGTACTTCTTTTTGTTGTCTGCTAAGCCACCAGCTATGGTGCAATCATTTCGGCGTTCCTTGATGAGGGAAGCGCTTGCAGAGCCGCCTGGTCATCGTTCCGGATGCCCGGATCCCAGTAGCGCGAACATTCAAAGATGCACTCCCAAGGCACCCTTTCTGTTCTTTCAAAAGAAATTGTCGAATGTACTCTTCTGATGTGCTTCCAGTTTGTTGTTTAATGAGGAGCACAGGCGTTATTCCCATAAATCCCTTTTAATGTGAGAATATTAAAATTTCCCCCCCCCCCCCCCCCCTTGATATTTTCGAAGCCGCACTGCACCCTGACGATCCATGCCTCGATTTTTTTCTTGTCGAAATCAGGATGGGACCAGAAGCTGTGAGTACGTAACGAATGTTTATATTCATGCCCCCTTTACTTATTGACGTACGATTTAAGCGTGGATCGACAGAAAATAGGAAAGAATCACTGTTGTCGATTTTGACGGAGTAATTCAGAGCACCGGTGTCCTAACCGGCACGCACATTGGTGAACGGTTGTGATCATTCAGGTACTTTGCAAGAATCTCTGTTTTGAAGGGCGAGAATGAGCTACTTGAAATAGTCTTCCGAAACCATATACCTCTAGTGTGCTACTGTACCTGTTTTATGCCCCGGCATTCTGACACATCCGCAACAGCCCAGGCAAGACAAGCTTTTGAAATCAACGACCGTCAAGCTTCCTGAGCAATTGCGGGAGAACATTAATACAATATATATTGATATTGATATCAAATGTTTTTGCATTAAAGCAAGAAAATATTGAATTTTCCTCTCCTATGGGTTTCGAGGGGGAAAAGTGTGACTTTTTCGCATGTTGAGGAACATGTGCTATACTATGTGTGGACAAACGCATAGAGTGTTAGAGTGAAAATGATATGGCCATCATCGAACCCCCTTTCCATGATCTGATGAAGAAACATCATCTGTAAAACATACTCTTTGTATGTCTTTTCCTCTAACTCTAGTGTCTATCGGACAATTGTTCTCATATCCCTAATGCTCTATATGGCCATTAAAATGGCCATAATAAAAACTATAGATTTTTGATTTTAGGGGCTTATGTCCACTTCACTGTGCATAAGACCCGAAAATTGGGAGGTAATCGGCAGCGCCTTACTCGGTTTCCGCCCTATCGAGACTTATTCTGTAAGCTTGGACGTATTCCGCTTGCTTTTTTCTGCACGCTCGATTTTCAAGATCTCAAAACCGTTGAGTATTTCGCCTCAAGCACCGGCAACCTCCCCATGTCCCCCAGCATGGCCACCGTGATATCGTCGGAGCTTCCCTCTGGCTCTCCAGAGCCCAATGCGACAAATGAACCAAGTATTGAGCAGCAAAACCATTCTGGGAATGGTGCCATCCCACCTGCAGGGATCGATAGAGCCACAGGAGATTTCACAGGCAATGTTGCTGCCCATAGCGGCCGAGCGGTTCCAAAGCCCTCCCGGGGACGCCCTAGAGGTCGCAGTGGACGTCGTGGCCGAGGATGCGCTCGCCGGAGGACGTCAGAACGCCACACGCATGTCGCTGATCCTACAACAGGGTGGACGGTAGGGTCAGATACATGCAAAAGTGTGATGTCGGAAAATGACTTCTCGGATGAGATAATTGGAGAGCGGGCAAGACTGTTCTGTATTTCAGCCGTTGAGAAGATGAGCATGCAGTGCACAGTGAAGACGATTGCTCCAACTAGAGCTGTATTTGTGATCTTATTCATGGGCGACATCTTGCGGCAGTGTGTTCAGTGGCTCAACAAACTCATCGCCCTTCGTGCTGAGGCAGTATCTGCAGTCACATTGGCTGATTTGTACCAATACGTTTCTGTTTTATTGGTGTCTCACTGTACTGGTTTTAGTTTCGAAAAGGCCATTCTGATTCTTCGTCTATCAGGTTGCAAAGTACCCTCGCTTGAACGTATGAGATTCATAGCTGGCAACATACTGGCGTATTCCCCAACGGGGCGTGGTAACGAAGGCGGATCTAGTTGGAATGCACAGAGGGATCAAACTAGGTACTTATCGGAGTTCGAGCGTATTGCTTTCAAAGAAACAAAGAAGGTATTCTTCAATCCACTGCATCTTTTTGCCACACTCGACGATGATTTGTTTGGGACGCGGGCTGCCGACAATCAAGTTAAAACGCTTAGTGCAAGGAAGGCGGACAAGGAGGGGCATTCAGCTGATTCCGTTGCGGATGCTTTATTCCGCATTACTATTGCAGTACGTTTTAGACGGAGAGGTGAATCTCAAGTAGATTCCGTAAGCAAGTTGATTGGTGATCTTGTAGACGGACAAGGGGAAGTTGCTTTAAACGGATGCATCATAACGGCGGATCGCGGTTATGGGAAGGAGTCCTTTGTAAGGCTGTTAATGAAGAATGGTTTGGCGTCTATTTTCGTGATGCCTCAGCATTTACAAAGGTGTCATCCGTTTGCTGGAAAATCGTTTTATAAACCGATGAGAGAGGACGAAAACGAGAGTGCAGTAGAAGCCCAAACGCAAAGCCCAACTTTGCCCGCCAGCAGCACTGCACAAGATCCAGGGAGCGCTGAAGAGGGAGCGGTTCGTGTTCAGTATGACCGTCCGTCGCGTTTTATAATAGATGACGCGCCAGAACTTGGCCCAGGCTGCTTCATCGCGTCTAAGAGGGTTGCAGCAGATGAGGCAAGGGTCGGATTGAACAAAATGACTGCCATTGCTGT